ATTCAGTGTGACTTTGTTCTTAATCACTTTTTGTTTTTAATTATATTAACTTTATCCCATATACTGCTCTCTGACAGATAATCTGACCCATTCTACAAATTAGCATATACCCCAATCAAATAAATGCTTTTTATTAGGTCATTAAATATAAAATGTCTGACTTCCTTAAGTACTAAGTTTGACAGTTGCTATCTCTGACATCTCACTTTGAGACTTCTTATTTTATTTTTATTGTGACAGTACATCCTTATTCTTTCAAACACATGGTTTTTGGCTTGTAATTATCTTTCAAATTTTTTTAGAGCAATTTTTGTGAAACCATGGATAAGTCAAAAATTCTTGTTATTTTTTAATATGAGGTCTGTCGTGGAACCATTGCTGCACAGACCATTCAGAATATCAGTGAAGAGTTTCGGAAGGATGTGACTAATGAATGCACAGTACGTTGATGGCTCCAGAAGTTCCATCCTGGTGATTTTAATCTTGAAAATGAGCCATATGGGTGACCTGAGACCAATGTGGATAATGATGAGCTGAAAGCTGTAGCAGAAGCAAATCCATCTCAACCTACATGTGAATTAGCAGCAAGGTTTGACATTACTGTTTCAACAGTATTGGACCATTTGAAAACAAATCAGCAAAGTAAAAAAGCTGGATAGATGGGTACCGCATAAGAAGAGAAATCAGAAGCATCAGAAGAGAAATCATCTTGAAACTTGCCCTTTTTTGCTGTCACAACATAAAGGTGAACCATTTCTACACTGTATTGTTACATGTGATGAAAAATGGATTCTTTTTGACAATTGCAAGCATTTGACACAATGGTTGGATAAAGATGAAATGCTGAAACATAGTTCAAAATGGAATATTCATCAAAAAAAGGTACTAATGTCTGTTTGGTGGTCCAGTGCTGGTATTATCCACTATAGCTTCACGAAACCTGGTCAATCGATTACAGGAAATGTCTACTGCAACCAATTGGATGAAATGATGAGGATGCTTGTGATTAAACAGCTGAAGTTGGTCAACAGAGACAGGCCAACCCTCTTGCAAGAGAATGCTGGACTACATGTTGCACAAACAACAAGGCTCAAACTACAGATGCAGGACTTGGAAACTCTCTGTCATCCACCATATTCACCAGAGTTTATAGCAACTGACTACCACTTCTTCCAGGCTTTGGACCACTTCTCATAAGGAAAAATATTCAATTCTCAACAAATTGTGGAAAATGCCTTTCATGATTTCATTGCCACCTGCTCTCCAGACTTTTTCTCTGCTGGGATAAGCAAGCTACCGTTAAGATGGCAAAACGTGTCAATAGTTTAGGTGCACACTTTGATTAATTGTACTGCTTCTTGTTTGAGATGTAATAAACTAAACCTTTGATTGGAAATCAAACATTCCTTATTTAATGACCTAATACATGGGTCAACAGGAAAGGTCCAAGTATCTTCCTTTGAAAATTACAATTTAATATAAGTTGTTTTATACAAGCTAGGAAGAGATACATTGAGCCTACTTTAGTCATTCAATAAATACTTATTAATTTGTCTTTCAGTAAAAGAAGATTATCACTTGCATATATTGAGGCCTGAAATAAAATGATAGGATATATGTACCCTATGCCCAGATTCTGAAGCATGGTATATATATACAATTTAATATAAGTTGTTTTATACAAGTTAGGAAGAGATACATTGAGCCTACTTTAGCCATTCAATAAATACTTATTAATTTGTCTTTCAGTAAAAGAAGATTATCACTTGCATGTATTGAGACCTGAAATAAAATGATAGGATATATGTACCCTATGCCCAGATTCTGAAGCATGGTATATATATATAAT